CGGCGGCGGCGGCGGCGGATGAGCCGACGGCTAGTCCGGCGAAAGAGGATGCCGGTGCTTCTTGTGGTTTTAGGTTGAGCTGGATGTGGAGGGGGAAAATGGGCTGTTTTTGTTGTTGTGGGGAGTTTGTTCTGCCTGCATCTCTGTTTAGTGTGGGAAAAAATAGAGAAAATATTTTGATGAATTTGTGAGATTGGTTGTGAGGTGAAGGATTGTGAGTTTTTTTTTTTTATTTCTAGTTTTTTATCCTATTGATTATTTCCATCACCAGATTTTGTTTGGTTGCTTCATTTATATGTGATATTTTGTAGTTTTTTTTTTAGTTTAATTTTGATAGTTGTTTGCCGGTGAGATCAAAAAATAGAGGAAAAGGGGAAATTCAAAACATGTCATGCCCTAATTTCTGTTACTAAATCAATTTGATTTTACTTTTGATGATTGTGGGATAGCAGCTTAGATGGCCCTCCTTATGGGTAACCAGTGCTATGTGATATGAATGGTGGTATTTTTTGTGCTGTTGGTTTGATGCATAGGGAAACATTTCTTTGTTTACTTCTTACAGGAGTGCTCATCCACAATAAACTTCTTCCTCAATGTATTGAAAGATAAGCTGATGCTCTTACTTGATGTGGTTAAACGAGCTGCTCAATTAAAATTTTGTTCCTGTGAACATTTGTGGCATTGTGAAATTATGAAGAAGTTTTTAGATTAAAAATTGTTATATATGTGGTGGTCAATATAGGATGAAGTTTTTAGATGGTTGGACGATCTATGGTTCATGTTTCTCTTTTGGATTGCTATGGTTCCACCCCTCATTGTGAGACTTGGAATGGTGGGAGGTTCACAAAATTATTACAAAGAATACAAATTAACCTCAACTTCTACTTCTCCGCAGTCCAATACATAGCAGAATAAGCTGGAAACTTTTGTTAGCTTTTATACCTCAATATCGATGACTAAACATTACAGGAAAGGATGCGGACAAGGAAACTGCAACTGCAAAAGTAATCCATCTGCTCAATTGATTGCATATGTTTGGCAAACAAAGAGCAATCATCATTCATAGACAAAATACTAAACAATAAACTGTGAAATGTATAAGCTAACTTTGACAAACTTCAAGCTTCATCATGGATATGACATCTTGTTGCTTTCAAACTGTTAACATGTAATCGTTAGCAGGTTAAGGAGAAATGATTATATGCTTTGAAATCCAGGTGCTAAAAACATACCTCCGCCAGCATGAGCAATCTTCACAATCTTGTTTTCACAGTTTTGCTTATTTTGCTAGCATGAAAAAATTACAATGAGCAATCTTCACAATCTTGTTTTCACAGTTTTGCTAGCATGAAAAAATTACAACTTCTGCATGACAGATCGTCTATTGAACTTTAAAAAATATGCAAATAAGCTATTTTCCAAACGCACAAACCAAACAACTAAACAGCTTATCCAAAATAGGGGCAGAATGTTCATTAATCCAGAATCAGTTGTTTTCGAAACACACAAACTAAACAGCTTGCCAGATTATCGGGATAAGCTGTTTATCAACAGATTATCAGGATAAGCTGAATAAGCTGCAGCTGCCCCAAACAAACCCTAAGTTTACATACATACCACACAATTCTTATATATTTACATATTTGGCGCCTAAACTTTGATATTTACATATATATCATTTAAATCTTTTAACATCACATCAAAAAATACCACTATAAAAGTGAAATGAACATTTTTCATGCATAGACATATGACGTCAAAGTGTTATAAATGTAAATATCGAACTTGTGTTACAAGCGTAAATACATAAAAAATGTGTCGTACGTAATTCCCTAATTATTTTAGTATTCTCTGAAGCTGGTAGCAAGATAAGAGTAAAGCATAGCAAAATGATGCAAGAATGTTTGATATGTTTTATATATGGTTGAAAAAGGAACCAACTCTAGAAAAAAAAATGCCATTGGCTGAAGAAGGAAAGAGAAAGATATCAGTGATTTTTCATCCTTTTAAACATTAAGGGGCTTATTGTTAACCTGTTTTATGCAGGATTTAGCCAGTTTTACGCCCAAACAGTAAGAAAAACTCTATAAATCTTGAGCTCCCATAAACCTCAAAATGATGCCGATTCACCATAAAACCGGGATTTATTAAATCCTGCGGTTCGGCGGATTTAACGAGAATTACTAAAACTGTAAGAAGTCTCGTGCGTAACATCTCTGTCCCATTCCATATCCTGTTCACAGAACTTTCCTTTTTCTTCACCATTGTAGCTCAAAAGCCCGTCCCTTGCACTCCTCTCATTTTCAGCTAGGGTTTTCCATCACTACACTTGTAAATCTGAAGTTCTATGTGCCCTTCATTTCGCAAAAAGATTCCTCCCATATTCCGTTGCACTCTGCTTGTCTTTATTCTTCACTTTTTGGCAGATTGCTAATGAAAATCTAAATAGAATGTTTGCATCATTTTATTGGCCTCTTCATCCTTAAAACGCATAATCAGTGAAATGCAATTATGCCTTGCGCAATGCTTCCTTTATAATTTTATTTCTGAAGCTTTTGTTTATGCATATGTCTTTGCATATGCAATTCTTTTATAATATTTTAGTTTCTTTATATCATGTGCCAGTCTTTAAGAAATGCATCATTTTATTTCATTTAAGCGAGCACAAAAAAACATGATAAGATGCATGTTTTTCTTTTATTTAACTATTTGCGGCGAAGCAGGCATGTTTTCTAAGCTGCTGGAGTGAAGTGTGACAAGAGACTCAACTTCGAAATTTATTAGTAGTAAGGATTTTTACTTGTGTAGTTCTCTAACCATGTGTGGACTCAGCATCATGCCTTTAAAATTTTTACAACAATTTTTCGAGTTCAATATGTTATGAAATGATTTACAATTTGGATCGAGTAAATATAAGAACTGTCATTTGGAATGATGGATATCTTTTGTTGCTTGAATAAAATAGATATTCTTGAACCATATTGAATATTCTGCTTTTTGAAGTCCTCCATCTCCTCTTTTTTGAATCCAACTCTTCCTCATTCCTTGTGATGATATGCTTGTTAAGTTATTGATTTTCTCATCTAAAACAATATAAGCACTTCTTACTTTCACTTATTACATTTGTGTATCCATTTTGGCAAAATGGTGCTATTTGGTGATAATTTTTATTGACTTGGAGGTCATATGGCTTAATAGATTGAGACAGGAGTGGAAATATGAAAAAATATATTACTTTACAGTGCTCATTTGTAAACCTTAATTATTGAAGGTGATTGCTAAAAAAACCTATAAGCATATTCAAATTTTAATCCATAGCCGTCATTTATTTTAGAAATTACCATAATTTGAAGTGTACTTGAGCCTGAACTTACATTCATTTATTTTAATTTCAAAAATCTAATTGTAATTGACCATATTACACAAACAAGATAGCATGGCATGCTATAATGAAATGTTATTTGTGTTAAAGAAAAGAATGTTAAGTTTAAAATGCAATAGCATTTAGAATGATTGAGTTGAATTTGATTGTTGTAGAGTGATTACTAAAGACAAGTTTTGGAAAATAAGCCTACCTAGTTTTAGCATATATTCAACGGGGAATGTTGTAATGAACTAATGATGCCATGTCGGCAGCTAAAAGGGAGGGGGAAGTTAAAAAAGATTTGGTGGGTGATTTGTTCAAAAGTTGTCCATAAA